CGAAATTAATTATTTAACAGAAAACAGGTCATTGAAAGTGCAAATGTTCCTTTGATGTAACACGGTTTTTTGTTGGTAGTTGGAGAGTGGGAGAGAAAGTGAGGTTAAGATATTTTAGGTTGAATATCAGGACCGTAGGATACCTTGCAAAACAGGAAAATCGAAAGTGCGTTGGTTAATCAGACAAATCTGATTTTTCGTAAGGAAAAGTTTTTTAATTTATATTGTTTCCAGCTAATCTAATTTAGAACTTTTGTGTTCTGTTCTTTATTCTGTGGTATGCTATTTCTAGAATGGGACCATAATTAGCACCTGATATTGCTATTTCTAAAACCGGAAGACAATTAACCCTCGAGATTGCTACTTCTAAAAACTAAACACAACCGATCTCCGCACAGTTTAAGCTGTATTGTGCTAAGTATTTCTACAATCAAAACATATTTAGCCCCTCTAAAATTACTGATTCTAAAAGTGTGCTATTTTTTTTAAATCGAAACATAATAATCAGCCCTTGATTTTGCTATTTCGAAAAGCAAAACACAATTGCGTCTCGAGATTGCTACTTCTAAAACACGAAACACAATCGATCTTCAGATGTTCTTTATTCTGTATTATGCTGCTTCTAAAATCGAAGCACATGTAGCCCCTGCGACTGCTAACTTTAAAAATGATACAGAATTAGCCCCCGAGATTTCTCCTTCTAAAAACGAAACTAAATTAAAATAAACCGGTTTTTGTTCTATTCTGTACTATTGAAACATAATTAGACCTTGAGATCGCTACTTCTAAAAACGAAACAAATTCAATCCTTTGACATTTTTTAATTGAAACAACAACATTGAAATCGCATTCTATTGTATGCTATTTCTAAAATCAAAACATACTTAGTTCTCTTGAGATTGCTAATTCTAATAACGACAAACAATTAGTCCCTGAGATTTCTATTTCTAAAAATCAAACAAAATTAAAATAAAGAAGTTTTTATTCTATTGTATACTATTTCCAAAATAAAAAAATAACCCTTGAGATTGCTACTTCTAAAAACGAAACAAATTCGATCTTCAGACATTTCTTATTCTGTTTTGTGTTATTTCAAAAATCGAAAAAAATCCTTGACATAACTATCTCTGATACCAAAACACAATTACGTCCTGAGATTGCTACTTCTAAGAATTAAATACAATAGATCCCCAGTCATTTTTATTTATCCTGTATTATGCTATTTCTAAAATAGAAACATATCTAGCCCCTGAGATTTCTATTCCTAAAGTCTAAAGACGAATAACCCCCTAGATTGCTATTTTTAAAAACAACAGGTTCCTTATTCGTGTTATGCTATTTCTAAAATATATAGAATCACATTGAGCCCCTGAGATTTCTACTTTTAAAAACTAAACAAATTGAAGAGGTTTTTATTCTATTATGTGCTATTTCTAAAATTAAAATACATAATCAGCTCTTAAGATTGCTATTTATAATATCGAACGGTGATTAGTCCCCGAGATTTTTGCTTCTAAAAACTAAACAAAATTAAAATGAAGAAGGTTTTATTCTGTTGTGTCCTATTTCTAAAATCAAAACAAAGTTATCCCTTGAGATCGCTACTTCTAAAAGCGAAACACAATTACGCCTCGAGATTGATACTAACTTCTAAAAGCAAAACACAATCGACTTTCAGATATTCCTTATTCGTGGTATGCTATTTCTAAAATAGAATCATATTTTCACCATGAGATTGCTAAAAGTGAAATACAATTATTCCTCGAGATTTCGTCTTCGAAAAACTAAAGAAAATTGAAATGAATAGGTTTTTATTCTATTTTATTATGCTATTTCTTAAATCGAAACATATCTAGCCTCTGAGATTTCTATTCCTAAAGTCGAAAGACGAATAACCCCCTAGATTGCTACTTTCAAAAACAACAGGTTCCTTATTCGTGTTATGCTATTTCTAAAATATATAGAATCACATTGAGCCCCTGAGATTTCTACTTTTAAAAACTAAACAAAATTGAAGAGGTTTTTATTCTATTATGTGCTGTTTCTAAAATCAAAATACATAATTAGCTCTTAAGATTGCTATTTATAATATCGAAAGGTAATTAGTCTGTGAGATTTTTGCTTCAAAAAACTAAACAAAATTAAAATGAAGAAGATTTTATCCTGTTGTGTCCTATTTATAAATTCAAAACAAAATTATCCCTTGAGATCGCTAATTCTAAAAGCGAAACACAATTACGCCTCGAGATTGATACTAACTTCTAAAAACAAAACACAATCGACTTTCAGATATTTCTTATTCGTAGTACACTATTTCTAAAATAGAATCATATTTTGCCCCTGAGATTGCTAATTCTAAAAGTGAAATACAATTAGTCCTCGAGATTTCGTTTTCGAAAAACTAAAGAAAATTGAAATGAATAGGTTTTTATTCTATTATATGCTATTTCTAAAGTCAAAACATACTTAGTTCTCTTGAGATTGCTAATTCTAATATCGACAAACAATTAGTCCCTGAGATTTCTATTTCTAAAAATCAAACAAAATTAAAATAAAGAAGTTTTTATTCTATTGTATATTTCCAAAATTAAAAAAGTAACCCTTGAGATTGCTACTTCTAAAAACGAAACAAATTCGATCTTCAGACATTTCTTATTCTGTTTTGTGTTATTTCAAAAGTCGAAAAAAAATCTTTGACATAACTATCTCTGATACCAAAACACAATTACCTCCTGAGATTGCTACTTCTAAGAATTAAATACAATAGATCCCCAGTCATTTTTATTTATCCCGTATTATGCTATTTCTAAAATCTAAACATATCTAGCCCCTGAGATTTCTATTCCTAAAGACGAAAGACGAATAACCCCCTTGATTGCTGCTTTTAAAAACAACAGGTTCCTTATTCGTGTTATGCTATTTCTAAAATAGACAGAATCACATTGAGCCCCCCAGATTTCTACTTTTAAAAACTAAACAAAATTGAAGAGGTTTTTATTCTATTATGTGCTATTTCTAAAATCAAAATACATAATCAGCTCTTAAGATTGCTATTTATAATATCGAGAGCTAATTAGACTCTGAGATTTTTGCTTCTAAAAACTAAACAAAACTAAAATGAAGAAGATTTTATTCTGTTGTGTCCTATTTCTAAAATCAAAACAAAGTTATCCCTTGAGAACGCTACTTCTAAAAGCGAAACACAATTACGCCTCGAGATTGATACTAACTTCTAAAAACAAAACACAATCGACTTTCAGATATTCCTTATTCGTGGTATGCTATTTCTAAAATAGAATCATATTTTGCTCCTGAGATTGCTAATTCTAAAATTGAAATACAATTAGTCCTCGAGATTTCCTCTTCGAATAACTAAAGAAAATTGAAATGAATAGGTTTTTATTCCATTTTATTATGCTATTTCTAAAATCAAAACATACTTAGTTGTCTTGAGATTGCTATTTCTAATATCGACAAACAATTAGTCCCTGAGATTTCTATTTCTAAATATCAAACAAAATTAAAATAAAGAAGTTTTTATTCTATTGTATACTATTTCCAAAATAAAAAAAGTAAACCTTGAGATTGCTACTTCTAAAAACGAAAAAATTCGATCTTCAGATATTTCTTATTCTGTTTTGTGTTATTTCAAAAATCGAAAAAAAATCCTTGACATAACTATCTCTGATACCAAAACACAATTACGTCCTGAGATTGCTACTTCTAAGAACTAAATACAATAGATCCCCAGTCATTTTTATTTATCTTGTATTATGCTATTTCTAAAATCGAAATATATCTAGCCCCTGAGATTTCTATTCCTAAAGTCGAAAGACGAATAACCCCCTAAATTGCTACTTTTAAAAACAACAGGTTCCTTATTCGTGTTATGCTATTTCTAAAATATATAGAATCACATTGAGCCCCTGAGATTTCTACTTTTAAAAACTAAACAAAATTGAAGAGGTTTTTATTCTATTATATGCTATTTCTAAAATCAAGACACATATATAGCTCTTAAGATTGCTATTTATAATATCGAAAGGTAATTAGTCTCTGAAATTTTTGCTTCTGACAACTAAACAAAATTAAAATGAAGAAGATTTTATTCTGTTGTGTCCTATTTCTAAAATCAAAACAAAATTATCCCTTGAGATCGACACTTCCAAAAACAAAACAAATTCGATCCTCAGACATTTCTTATTCTATATTGTGTTATTTCAAAAAGCGAACCACAACTATCCTTTGACATTACTACTTCTAAAATCAAAACACAATTTCGTTCTGAGATTGCTATCTCTAAGAACTAAACACAATCAATTTCCAGGCATTTGTTATTTTGTATTATGTCCTTCCTAAAGTCCAAACACATTTAACCCCTAGATCTCGCCTTCTAAAAACGAAACAAAATTGAAATTTCAAGTTTCTTTATTCTATTATATGCTATTTCTAAAATCGAAAGATTATTAACCCTCGAGATTGATGCGTCTAAAAATTCTAAAAGTTGAACACAGTTAGCTCTTAAGATTGCTATTTCTAATATCGAAAGACAGTTAGTCCCTGAGGTTTATATTTTTAAAAAAGAAACAAAATCATAATAAACCATTTTTTATTCTATCAACTGGAATTATTTATGTCCTTATTCTTGTCCAATATTTTCTCAGATCTAATAAATAATAATAAATATTTAATATACCGTGTGAATCAATAAGCTGCAGTCCTTAATATATCACTAATTATTATCATTAGATATAGAGATATTTGAGTAGCATACACTAAAATTATTCTCAAACTATACATATACGTGGTATTTCTAATACCAGGATCTAAAGTACATTGATATGATAATGATAACATTTTTGTAATCGTAAAATGTCACGAAACCTTACCACCTCCGATATCTTTTATTACGTTGAAGTTTAAAAAGTTTGCACATTTTATTTTCACAAATATGGCAAAACGAATCCTTTTTAATGAACTAATCCCAATTACACTGTCAATATTCCTATCAAACTCTCTTACGAGTGCATTGTGTGAAGGTACGTATTTATCATTATCTTTTATTAAATAAATTATGAATTACGATTATGTCGCTCCAGGGGAAATATGTACGGTCCCATCTACCCATGAATGCGGACCTTGCATTGAGATCTTCAATTGCAAATATGCCATGAACTTAAATCGTTGGTACCGAAATCCTGGAGTATGTGGCTTCAACGGAAACATTCCACTTGTGTGTTGCCCTATTCCGCCGAAACTGGAGGGTTTTCCTGGAGAGATAAGTATAAGAAGTAAGCAACTTAATTCTTCGTGTAGGTTTGAAAGAATTTTTCGATAGAGCTTTAATAAAATTCGTAATTTTGTTCCCAAAATTCTCGAATAATAATCACCTCTTCTCGTTTTTACTTTCCGAGCGTAAGCTAAGGAAGTATTGTAATCAAGTCCATCGGACGAATTTTTTAAACCTGTGTGAGTTTTTGGATAAACACTTATAGTATGTCAACTTTTAACAGAATGCGGTGAATATTATTTCATCTCTAAAAACGTAGCATACATGATAGGAGGCTTGCAAGCTAAATCTCAAGAATTTCCTCACATGGTAGTAAAACCAATATTTCCAAATAAAAATTTCTCAGGGTTTATTTTAGGCAGCGGTTGGTTATGGCAAAATTAAAATGGTATGGCTATGTGGAGGAAGTCTGATCAGTCATCGTTTCGTTCTAAGTGCCGCACACTGCGCAGAAGTTACAAACTTGTAAGTAGCTACTTATACTAAACACTTTAATCCAAAAACTAATTTTTGTACTCAGGGGGCCAGTAGAGTGGATTATTTTGGGAGCCGTAACTTTGCAAAACCCAAACGAATGCGAACACTGCCAAGTCTTCAAAATTAGCAAAATTTATGTACACCCGAAATACAAAATTTCTTCGTACTACCATGACCTCGCTTTATTCAAAACGGAACGACAAGTTCATTTTATGTCTCATATAAAGCCAGCTTGTTTACAAGTGCCAGGGGATGTTTTATTTACGGAATTAGAGGCAATTGGATGGGGTAAAACGGGTTTATTTGATAGAGTAAGCGATCATTTATTGAAGGCCGATTTGTCTGTTGTCAATCATAGTACCTGTGCCAAAAGATACGCCGATGTTGTTCGAACCAGGAAATTGACCCAAGGTATTTTAGATGAATTTCAAATCTGCGCAGGAAGTGCTGAGGGAAAGGACACGTGTTCGGTAATAACTATACCAGGTATACTAAAACAAAAGTTGCATGAGTTAGATTATAGGGTGACTCGGGAGGACCACTGCATTATAAATTATTCAGAATACGCACTGTTAATAATCATTTTGTCGTCGCAGGAATTACTTCCTTTGGAAAAGGATGTGGTGGCAACAACAGTGTTGGGGTTTACACAAGAGTGTCAGCTTATGTTAGGTGGATAGAAAATATAGTTTGGAGGGAAGACGACTAATTTTATTGAGAAAAAATTCTTGTAACGGCGTTTTCGTCACCTATAAATAATACAATTTTATCATGAAAGTTTGTTGTAATGCGTTTTCTAACTCAATAAAATAAAAGCATAATTATTACTTTCATTAATGTTTTAAGTATTTGCCGGTTGTCCCAACCAGCACCTAATAATTAAAACAAAACAAATCATAACGATTAATAAAATTGTTAAGATTTTCAAATATACAAAAAGTCGAAGATGAAAAACAAATAAGTGTATATAAGGGTATATGCAAAGTGTTAAAATTCCACATAAGTTCATCATTTGACATTTGCTTGAAAAGTCCTCGGACAGAACAGGTGGCAATCCCAACATTTTCGTTCGCAGTTTGATAGATAGTTACTTAAATGGTCGTAGAAAAAAGTGGTCACTTTACATAAACATTTGCGCGAAAAAAAAAGTCTAGTAGATCAGATATAACAGATAGATAAGAAGAAGAAACCACTATTCTTGTATTATACAAGTTGTGGAACATGGAAATATATAAAATTAGTTAAAATGACCTTTTTACAATACTCTCGAGTAACAAACAATTATTATCAGTCCAAAAGTAAAATACTTACTATTTATGTTCATTACTTGTATCTAAAGTATATAGATTAATATGCCAATGATAACATTTTTGTAATCGTAAAATGTCACGAAACCTTACCACCTCCGATATTTTTAATTACGGCGCAGTTCGAAAAGTTTGTGTTTTTTTGTTTCGATAAATATGACAATATGACAAAACGAATTTTTGAAATTATTTTTTATGAACTAGTCCCCCTAGTTTCAATTTCTTCATTATTATTATCAAACTGTCTTACGAGTGCTTTGTTTGAAGGTACGTATTTCTTATTTACCTTTTATTAAGATATGAATTAAGAATTTCAATTGTTACACCAGGGGAAAAGTGTACAGCTCCAATAACCCATGGAAAGGGTCTTTGTACTGAAGTCTATAATTGCAAATATGCCCTCAAATTAATTCGTAGTAGACGAAATCCGGGATTATGCGGCTTTAAGGGAAACACTCCTCTTGTTTGCTGCCCTTTGCCGTCAAAGCTGAACCTTCCTGGAGCTTTAAGTGTAAAAAGTAAGTAAAAAACGGCCTTAAATTATTTAAAATGAATTTTCTCATTTCTGAAGCACGGCATGGTTGCATGTTGAGGCAAATTTTTCAATAAAAATATAATTAGTAACTTTTAAGTAAGTGCAATTCGTAAGGTCTCTTAATTCTCTCGTCTCGGGTGGCGTGAGATTGCGGCTCTCTACTCTCCAGCACTAACGTAGTTACGGCTTAGTAAACGGCTTAGTACTCGAAGTAGTAGATGGGTGTATTTTTGATGAATCATTTTGCAAAATTTTGAAACTAACATCAATGAATTTGCAGAATGTAGGGAATATGACGATCCTAATTCTGAGGCACTTGCTTTCGGGGAAAAAGCTGTTTTTGAAGAGTTTCCTCACATGGTATGAGTTCCAACTGAAACTGTCATAAAATATTCTGAGTTCATCATTGTAGGCAGCCATTGGTTATGGCACACGCGAAACGGACATTGCATGGTTATGTGGAGGAAGTTTAATTAGTCACAAATTTGTACTTAGTGCTGCGCATTGTGCGTATGATCAAGAGTAGTAAGTATCAGTTATAGCATGTTCAATAAATTTCTTGCCAGTTGCGTATCGCTGAACGTGTATTATAAGTGTAACCTATTATATAGAATCATTTATAGACACTCTTTACTTTTCATATACTTCTAATTTATATTTTAAAATAGTAAAGAAGCTCAGTGGATTCGTCTTGGAGCCCTAGATCTCAACAACAACGTCAAAACCAACCCTCGAACCATGAAAACCGTGAAAATCAGCCAGATTTACCCACATCCAAATTATAAATATCCTTCGTATTATTATGACATCGCTTTATTCGAAATGAATGAAACTGACAAAATTTTTTATCCGGCGTGTTTACATCCGTATCAAAATCTTCCCAACACGAATTTGCAAGTTACTGGATGGGGTACTGAAAGCTATTTAGGTTCACGCAGTAGCCATTTATTGAAAGCAACTTTGAGTATGGTAGATCACAAAAAATGTGCTAGGAGATATAAAAGTTATGTCGAACGAAGGAAATTGGAAGCAGGTATTTTGGACGAGATTCACATATGCGCTGGTGATGCAGAGGGTAGAGATACTTGCCAAGTAAGTTTTATTGACCCATGTATAAATAGAGCAGAAATTAAGTGCTAAATTCTAGGGCGATTCTGGGGGACCACTTCATTATAAAGTCTACTCGGGGACCGCAGCAGAGGGGCATTTTGTTCTTGTAGGAATTACTTCGTTTGGCCAACCATGCGGTTGGAAAAATAGTATCGGTGTCTATACAAGAGTATCAGCCTTCATTGAATGGATTGAAAATATTGTTTGGCCACAAAATGACTACAAATAAATTGTACTTTATACTTTATTGTAACCAAGGGATTTGAAGGTGATTTTTAATACATAAAAATATCGTTGAAGCGGCATAAATAAAACCACGCAGCCCCTGCGCCATGGGGGCGCAAATTTCGAGGGGACGCGGATTATGGCAGTTTGGACCAAAGCAAAGCAAGATACAGGATGAAGTTATTAAATCCTTAACTATAAAGGATTCCGAAACTAAACAGGACCACTCCAAATTGATGCTGAATAATACTAGTAGTAAAGACGATGACTGGTCTATAGCCGGTAAGAAAAAACATAAAAACCCCATGATGAAGTCCAATAGCAGACAACCAAAAATTGTTGGCCAATCCAAAGAACAACAGACAATAAAAACACTCCCTAAATTGGCATTTATCTATGTGTCCCGACTACATCCGGACACATTACCAACTAATATAGAATAATTATTAAAACCTAAGTTTCCAGAAGTAAAGTGTATGGGAGAAAATCTGTCTAAATTCCCGCAACATTATGCCTCTTACAAGTTAAGTGTTCATCTTGAAAATTGTAACCAAGCAATGGATCCACTAATATGGCCATATGGATGTCATGTATCAAGGTTTTTTCACAGAAGACCAATGAAAACTCTACCAGTGTAAAAACACATCAATCTGAGAAGGATCTTAAAGATGGTGCTGCACAGCTCCTTCACATCTTAATTATTAACATTCAATCGATTAAAAATAAATTAAATGAGTTATAAGTTATTCTTCATACGGAAGATATCCAACTGGTTGGTGTATCCGAACACTGGCTAAATGACTACGAATCAAACTCTTTGACTTTGGAAAACTACTCTGTTTGGGCACATTTTTTTAGAAGCAATGATTTGCATGGAGGTTTCATGATCCTGACGAAAAAGAAACTAACTTGTGTACCACTTCCTTCATGCATGAAATATTCAGAAGAAAAAATGACAGAAATTGCTGGCGTGTCATTGCAAACTTTGGGTATAATTTTTATTAATATTTATCGGCCCCCAGCAGGAAATTTAAACTGTTTCTTGGAAAATTTGAGTAAAGTTTTAGGCGAAATTGACATTCCTCACACAAATGTAGTGATATCAGGAGACTTCAATGTCAAATTTTACACCAAAAATCCTATGAGAACTAGACTTTGTGATTTTATGAATAGTTTCGGTCTTATACCTTTAGTAAATTTTCCAACCAGAAAGGCGAACTGTCTAGATAACGTGTTCACAAATATCGATCTTAAGTATTGTAATTGTAAACCACTGAATACTCTACTTTCTGTAGTCTTAAGTAATCAGACAATCTATCACACGACAAAAATGTATAGGCCGATTACGGCTCTCGGTAAATTCAGTCTATATCATTCACTTAATACAGTTGACTGGTCCTTTATTGGGAATAGTAATCAAGACATTAATGATAAATTTCTATGTTTTATAAATATAATATCTGATCATGTCAATAGGTATTTTCCTACAAGACTGTTCAATGGTAGCAATAAGCCAAATCGTGACAATGGTTTACTGAAAATTTGGCCTGAATGAAAAATATTTTACGAACACTTGTAGATATTGACAAAATTGTTAATAGTAGTGAGTCTAGGCAAATAAAGAATAACTACAGGAAACTGTATAGAGAAGAAATTAGGCTTAGTAGAATAAATTTCAATAAACAAACTATTGATTCCGCAAATAATAAAAGTAAAGCTCTATGGAATATTGTCAACAAGTATCGTGACAGCACTTCTAGTAAAAATACTGATATGTTGAACTGTATTCGAACATGTGATGATTTTAATATCTATTTTACTAATGTTGCATCTAATTTAGTCAATAATCTATCTCCTTCTCGTGATGATCCAATAATGTTAATGAGTGAGAGTATGTCCGTTCCTAAAAACTGTATGTCTAATTTTAGTTTTTGCCAGATTTCCGGTGCAACTGTTAGAGATGTGATAAACTCTATAAAAAATAGTAGATCCAACGATATATATGGACTAAATGTTACGATCATAAAAAGCATCAAAGACATTTTGATCTCCCCTTTAACTAAACTAATTAACATTTGGATTGTGCAATCAGTATTTCCTAGCTGTCTGAAGATTGCTAGAGTTGTTCCCATACATAAGAAAGGTGATATAAACGACACTTCCAACTATAGGCCGATCTCTATTCTTCCACTATTTTCTAAGATCTTGGAAAAAATCTTGTATAATCAATTAAGTAATTATCTCGAAATTAACTACTTGCTGTCACCTTCACAGCATGGATTCCGGAAGAACCACTCTACGGTTGGAGCAGTGCTAGATTTTATCAGAGAGGTTGGTAATGTTTTGGAAGATGGCGGAATAACAGCAGTGTCCTTTCTTGATCTTACTAAGGCATTCGATTGCGTCCATCACCTGACGCTATTGAGAAAATTATATATGTACAATTTAAGTCCCTGTTGTTGCAGATTATTGTCATCTTTCATAAGTGACAGATCTCAGTTAGTTTCCATAAATTCAAAACGGTCTGAGCAACTGCCAGTTTTGCATGGGGTACCTCAAGTCCTTGGACCTCTTTTGTTCCTAATGTACATTAACGATCTTCCAATGTATATGAGAACTCACTGCAAGAGCATTCTATATGCAGATGACACGACTTTGATTTGCAGTGGAAGGGATCTTTTACAGGTACTCACAGACCAGGCTATGGCACAATCAAAGACCCAAAGTTGGTTCGTCGCTAACAGATTAATAGTAAATACATCAAAAATTGTAAGAATGTTATTCTCCCTAAAGAAAAGAATACAGGTTCCCGATGACTTTGTAACATCTATGTTAATGTTAATTTGAGTAATTACATATGTCATAATCATATCCATAATTATAATACACGATACAGTGAACACTTATGTTTAAAGAAAACTAGACTGACAAAGTCTCGTAATTGTGTTGAATACCTAGGCATTAAATTCTATAATGCTTTACCTCAGAACATTCGGGAGTTAAATGGACAAAATTTTAAATCTGTCATTAAAGAAAATTTAACAGGGTTCGCGTTATATTCATGGGATGACTACTTCCATATAAGTCAAAATTTTAAGCCTACTTAGAGAGTGGTTGTATGTAAATGTCATATTTTTTTAGAATCTTATGTGCTTTGTTTTTATATTTTATACTTGTGTCTGTATTTTCTAAATGTAATATTTTGACGACCCAATGTACTTATATTGTATGCTAAAGGGTAGAACAAAATTATTATTATTATTATTATTATAGATTCTTAATGATATTATTTTTGTTGAGACCCCGTTTTTTCCTGTTATGATTAAGATTCACTCAGAAATCACTGAACAACACAAGTTGAATTATTTTATCCAAGAGGGCCTGGTTGTAAGTAATAACTTTCATCACAATGTCGTAGATACATCTACATACACGTATGTAGTTACTTGCATGCTTAAATATCATTTGATAATTTAAATAGCAGAGAAATGTACAACAATCAAACAGTCCAGTAGATCAGACGACATTTAGGCAGGAAAAGAAAACCAATATTTTCGTGTTCTACAAGTTGTGGAACATAGAAAAAATAAAATTCGTCAACTTCCTAGGCTTACTCTTGAGTAACAATGGTCAGTCCAAAGGTAAATACTTGTTATTTATGTTTATTACGTGCATCAAAAATACGATAATATTATAATGATAACATTTTTGTAATCGTACAATGTCACCTGACCTTACCACCTCCGATATCTTTTATTAGGTCGCAGTTCGAAAAGTTTGTCCATTTTTATTTTCACAAATATGAGAAAACGACTTCTTGCAATTATTTCGTATGATATAATCCCCCTAGTTTCAATTTCTTCAGTATTATTATCAAACTGTCTTACGAGTGCATTGTTCGAAGGTAAGTAAGGTAATATATGCTTATTTATATTTTATTACATAAATTAAGAATTTCGATTATATTACTTCAGGGGAAAACTGTACGGTTCGAATAAACCATGAAGAGGGTCGTTGTATTAGAGTAGATGATTGTCAACATGCCCTCAAACAAATTCGTAGTAGAATAAATCTTGGAGCATGTGGTTTTAAGGGAAACGATCCACTTGTGTGTTGCCCTTTGCCGTCAAAAATGGAGGATATTCCTGGAACCTTAAGTGTAACAAGTAAGTAAAAAATAGAACTTTATTCGTAAGTGCAATTTTCTCGTCTCGGATCGCGTTAAATTGCGGCTCTCTGCTCAGTCGGTGCCAACATATTTATCCTACATTATAAACAATATTGTTACGTACATGTCTCAAAAACTGCTTTTGTTGTAAAATTTCCGTTTGACACCAATAATTTTGCAGAATGTATGGGCTATGACGACTTTTTACTTGAAAGGCTCTTTCACGGCGAACAAGTTCCTCTTCACAAGTTTTCTCACATGGTAGGAGTTCTAACTGAATCTGTCATAAAATATTCTGAGTTTATCACTGTAGGCAGCTATTGGTTATGACAAACATGAAACGGACATTGCATGGTTATGTAGAGGAACTTTAATTAGTTACAACTTTGTACTTGGTGCTGCGCATTGTGCGTATAATCAAAAGTAGTAAGTAGTTAGGTAACGCATGTTTAATAAGCTTGTTCGTTGCTTTATCAATCATGTACATAAATTTATATTTTAAAACAGTAAAGAGGCTCAATGGATACGTCTTGGTGCCTTAGATCTCAAAAACAACACCGAAACCAACCGTCGAACTGTAAAAATCAATGAGATTTACACACATCCAAATTATAAATATCCTTCGTATTATTATGACATCGCTCTATTCAAAATGGATAAAAATTACTATGGTTATAAGCCGGCTTGTTTACATCCGAATTATAATCTTTCCCACGAGAATTTGCAAATCACTGGATGGACTAGTGGAAGCTATTCAGATACAAACAGTAAAAAAGCAACTTTGAGTCTGGTAGATCGTAAAACATGTGCTAAGAGATATAAAAGTGTTGCCAAAACAAGGAAACTGAAATCAGGTATTTTGGACAAGATTCAGATATGCGCTAGTTATGCAAATACTTGCCAAGTAAGTTTTATTGACTTTTGTGTAAATGGAGCAAAAATTAGGTGGTGAATTCTAGGGTAATTCTGGGGGAGCCCTTCATTATAGAGTCGATCCGAAGAGTCCAAGGCAGGGTCATTTTGTTATTGCAGGAATTACTTCCTTTGGCAAACCCTGCGGCAGAAAAAACAGTATTGGTGTCTACACAAGAGTATCAGCCTTCATTGGATGGATCGAAGACATGGTTTGGCGACAAAATGAAGATAACTTGGATTTTGACATTGATATAAAATAATAGGTTTTTCTAGTTGAAAGAACCCAACGTAAACGTAAAAAAACGTGTTTAATAAGACTCTTGCTTCTTTTTTTATGGTTTATTACTTTGATGTTCTACATTATACAAATTATATCTATGTAGTCTACAAAAATAGAAGAATAATTGACACAAATCATTAAAATTTATTGAATAATTACTTATTTACATTTACATTTATATTCAAAGTAACACACATATCCCCCTTTGATATTTTTTGACTTCGGTGTGATTGATACGAGCCAGTATCTTCGACGTCATTAATTTTCAAGTTCGTTAATTCACAACATCTACATGCACCAGTGCATCCTAAAATAATTCATAATTTATACCTAATATTGCTGCAGGTAAGCGAAGAAAAATGTTGCTGGCCCGGTGGGAATCGAACCCAACGTCTTCCGCTTGCCGGGCGGGTGCCTTGACCACTAAACTACAGAGGTGCAAAAAAAGTTTACCTTAATCATCAAACAGTGTTCATCAGGTGCACTTCTCAGGAATTCTTCAACATGTTCCGACACTTTTGGTTTCTTTATTTTGTATCCTTTAGAAACACTTCAAAAAAGCCGTCAATTTGCCGTATTTTGATTGTCCTTACTTGGCGTTTTTCTCTCCACATATTAAATCCAGCAATTTTTTTTCTTAATATTTGTTACACTCGTCTTACTGGCGTTGGGCATGATCAGATAAATTTTGGTTACGAATAAATTTTAATCCATGTTCTGTAAGTCTATTTTTTGCGGTGACCAGTATACAATATACATACTACATATCACAATATACATTTAAAAAAATTTCTGAGTAAAATTTTGAGATAACGTTCTGAAATTTTTAGTGCGAGTTAAGAGACGAGTTTTAATTAGCTTTTTAATGTTGAAGCACACCTTACTTTCGTGGTAATCAGTCCAGTAAGTCAGATAACATGTAGATAAGAAAAAGAAACCAATATTTTCGTATTCTACAAGTTGTGGAACATAGAAAAACATAAAACCGGTCAAAATGACGCTTTTACATTATTCTTGAGGTGGAACCAATTATCAGTCCAAAAGCTAATACTTGTTATTTATGTTTATTAAATACACTGCCAGACAAAAACTCGGACACTTGAATTTTTTGTGGTTACCTGCAATTGGTCGAACTTTTGTAAAAAACATTCTAAAAACAAGACATTAGTTAAGTTTACTGGTTTAATAAACTTATTTTTAAAAAGAACTTTTATTTTTACGCACAATTTTTATTTTTCCACTTGATTATTTATTATTGGATTATTAAATATTCATTATTCACAATTATTCACTTAAATATTTTTGTTTTTAAATTATAACACTAAACATAAAGGTAAAGTTAGAAATATTTGAGCATCCGAGTTTTTTTGTCTGGCAGTGTATTTGCATCTAAAGTATATACAATAATAAGATAATGATAACTTTTTTGTAATCGTAAAATGTCACGTAACCTTGCCACCTCCGATATCTGCTATTACGTTCCAGGTCGAAAAAGTTGTACATTTTTATTTTCAGCAATATGACGGAACGAATCATTACAATTATTTTTTATGAACTCATTCCTCTAATTTCAGTTTCTTCCGTGATTACACTGTCATTATTATTGTCAAATTCTCTTACGAGTGCATTGTGTGAAGGTCCGTATTTTTGTTATTTATCTTTCATTAAATAAATTAGGAATTACGATAATGTCACTCCAGGGGAAATATGTGCGGTTCCATTTACCCATGAAGACGGAGTTTGTATTGACATATGTTATTGCAAATATGCCATCAACTTAATCCGTTGCGGAAAAAATCCTGGAATATGCGGCTTAAAGGGAAACATTCCACTTGTGTGTTGCCCTATTCCGTCAAAACTGGAGGATCTTCCTGGAGATTTAAGCATAAGGAGTAAGTAAAATGTAACATTTTCATTTCTAAAATTTCGGGGAAGTCAAGTAGATCATTCTAAAAATAGATCATCCTTAATGCATCAGTAGGGGAAATGTGCCTAAAATGATCCCCTCAGGTCAAATGATTCCTATCAATTGTAAGAAAATTTGTGGCTCCATCTACCAAACATAACTGTCATTTGATTAAGCGCTCTGTAATTAGTAGCTTCTGAAAGTTTGATGGCGTTCTGTGTATTCTGCACAGTTTTGTGCCAAAATATGTAAAATAAGCACCTCTGATCTAAGGTAAGATATATTTTAAAAGTCTATTACTTCCATTTGAAAGGTCTTATAGCGGTGGTAGTTGTTTTGACAGAATTAGATACATTTCAGTCGTAGGTTAGTTATGATTTTTTTACCGCATATAAAAATTGAAGGTTAGTTTACAATTTTTGAATGCGGATATGCTACCTAAGGCGAAATGATCCCTTTTTCTTGAGACAAAATTATCCCGGATCATTGGGCGGGGCTAGTACCTGCTAAGATAAGACTGATTTTTGCAAATCATATACCCTCTAAGAAAAGAGAGGGTGGGTGGGCGGGGCTAGTACTTGCTAAGATAACACTGATTTTTGCAGATAACATATCCTCTAACCCCGCCCACCTACTCTTTATTTTCTTTGAGGGAATACCATTTGCCAATATCAGTTTTATATTAGTAAGTACTAACCCCACCCACCCGCCCGTTATTTTTTTAGAATGTATGTTATTTGCCAATATCAGCCTTATCTTGCCAAGCACTAGCTCGGCCCATCCGCCCTTTATCTTGTTAGAGGGCTAGTACCTAATAAGATAAGACTGATTTTCGCAAATGACATATCCTCCAAGAAAAGAGAGGGTGGGTGGGCGGGGCTACTACCTGCTAAGATAAGACTGATTTTTGCAGATGACATATCCTCTAACCCCGCCCACCCACCCTTTAGTTTCTTCGAGGGAATACCATTTGCCAATACCAGTTTTATCTTAGCAGTTACTAGCCCCACCCACCTACTACCTGCTAAAATAAAACTGATTTTCGCAAATGAAATACCCTCTAAGAGAGGAGAGGGAGGGTGGGTGGAGCTAGTACCTCTTAAGACGGGGAAATTTAAATAATTTAAAAGAATTTTAGGGATTTTCGTGTTCTATTTTTGGGAAATTCTCAGTCTTAAGAGGTACTAATCCCAGTCACCCGCCGTCACTTTTCTTAAAGGGTATCTCATTTGCCAAAATCAATTTTATATTAGCAAGTATTAGCCCCACCCACCCACCCTCTCTTTTCTTAGAGGGTATATCATTTGCCAAATTCAGTTTTATCTTAGCAGGTAGTAGGCCCGCCCACCCGCCCTCTCTTTTCTTAAAGGCTATATCATTTGCCAAATTCAGTCTTATCTTAGCACTTACTAACCCCACCCATCCACCCTCTTTTTTCTTAGAGTGTATGTCATTTGCCAAATTCAGTTTTATCTTAGCAGTTACTAGTCCCACCCACCCACCCTCTCTTTGCTTAGAGGGTATATCATTTGCCAAATTCAGTCTTATCCTAGCAGTTACTAGCCCCACCCACCCACCCTCTCTTTTCTTAGAGGGTATATCATTTGCCAAATTCAGTTTTATCTTAGCAGGTAGTAGGCCCGCCCACCCGCCCTCTCTTTTCTTGGAGGGTATCCCATTTGGCAAAATTAGTCTTATCTTAGCACGTACTGATGACTAAAGTATTGTCTCAAACTCTTCCAGAAATTATACGCCCCGTATTTTCGGTGCTTTTCAAACTTTTTTTGTTTATTTTTTTTTAAGAATTTTTTTTTTTTTTGAAATAAAATATTTATCAGTTATGTCATGATTTGATTTTTCTTGTTGATGCTGTCCCCTTATGGTCAAAATTCAAAGGGATCATTATGCCCATGCCGAGGGATCATTTTACCTATGGGGATGCCTAAAATGATCTTTTTGTAAGGTCTTAGAAAAACGTTAATAACTTTTTTTATAATTATCGAATCACCAATTGGCTTATACTGTTACCTAGATAAATCAATGTTCTTACAAATAATGCTACAGTTTTACATGAATAATAATAATTTGTATTTTTAAAACAATTTCTCCCTTAGGGGAATCATTTTAGGCACCTTTCCCCTACTTAACAATATTTAGGATAAAAATAGCTCAAACGCAACACAATTATTTTGTTCCCAGAACTCCTGAATAAGCATCTCATCCTCCCTTTTTACTTTTCAAGCGTAAGCTAAGGAAGTATTGTAATTGAGTCCATCGGGCGAATTTTTGGTTCAACACTTATGAGTATATTAATTTTTAACAGAATGCAACGAATATTATTACGTTTCAGAACACAAACAATACATCCTGCTCGGCTTGAGAGCTAAATTTCGGGAATTTCCTCACATGGTAGGAAAACCAATATTTCCAAATAAGAATTTCTCAGGCTTTATTTTAGGCAGCGGTCGGTTATGGCGAAACTAAAATTGCATGGTCATGTGGAGGAAGTCTGATCAGCCATCGTTTCGTTCTAAGTGCTGCACACTGTGCAGAATCCATAGAACTGTAAGTTCTAATACTTAGAAAATTAACCAAATAACTCATTTTTGTACTCAGGGGACCAGCATTGTGGCTCCGTTTGGGAGACCTAACCTTAACAAACACCATCAAAGACGCAAACTCTGAAGTCTTCAAAATCAGCGAAGTTCATATACACCCGAAATATAGAATCTCTTCGTATTATCACGACATCGCTTTATTCAAAACGGAACGACAAGTTCATTTTATGTCTCATATAAAGCCAGCTTGTTTGCAAGTGCCAAGGAATTTTTCTATTACGAATTTAGAAGCAATTGGGTGGGGCAGAACGGGTTTTCTTGATGAAGGAAGCGGTCATTTATTGAAGGCCGATTTGTCTGTTGTCAATCATAGTACCTGTGCCAAAAGATACGCCGATGTTGCTCGAACCAGGAAATTGACCGAAAGTATTTTAGATGAATTTCAAATCTGCGCAGGAAGTTCTGAGGGAAAAGACACGTGTCTGGTAATACACCGGGTATGCTAAAATAAAAGTTGCATGGGTTGGATTCTAGGGTGACTCGGGAGGACCACTACATTATGAATTATACAGAATACACACTGTTGATAATCATTTTGTCGTCGCAGGAATTACTTCCTTTGGAAAAGGATGTGGTGGCAACAATAGTGTTGGGGTTTACACAAGAGTGTCTGCTTACGTTAGGTGGATAGAAAATATAGTTTGGAAAGAAGATGACTAATTTTATTAAGAAAAAAATCTCGTCAACTGTGAAGAATACAATTTTATCATGAAAGTACATTGTAATGAATTTTGCAAATAAATAAAATAAAAGCACATACAAAGAAAAAGAAACCAATATTCTCGTATTGTACAAGTTGTGGAACATAGAAAAACGTAAAATTGGTCAAAATGACCTTTTTACAATACTCTTGAGGAGCAGACAGTTATCTGTCCAAAATGAAATACTTGTTATTTATGTTTAATACGTGCATCAAAAATACAATAATATTATAATGATAATATTTTTGTAATCATACCAAGTCACCTAACCTTACCACCTCCGATATCTTTTATTACGTCGCAGTTCGAAAAGTTTGTCCACTTTTTTTTCACAAATATGAGAAAACGAATTCTTGCAATTTTCTTTGATATAATCCCCCTAGTTTCAATTTCTTCAGTATTATTATCAAACTGTCTTACGAGTGCATTGTTCGAAGGTAGGTAATATGTGCTTATTTACATGTTATTACGTAAATTAAGAATTTCGATTATGTTACTGCAGGAGAAAACTGTACGGTTCGATTAAACCATGAAGAGGGTCGTTGTATTAAAGTACGTGATTGCCAATATGCCCTCAGACTAATTCGTAGTAGACGAAACCCTGGAGCATGTGGCTTTAAGGGAAACGATCCACTTGTGTGTTGCCCTTTGTCGTCAAAAATGAAGGATCTTCCTGGAACCTTAAGTGTAACAAGTAAGTAAAAAAGCAGAACTTTATTCGTAAGTGCAATTTTCTCGTCTCGGATCGCGTGCAATTGCGGCTCTCTGCGCAGTCGGTGCCACCATATTTATTCCACATTATACACAATATCGTTACGTACATATCTTAAATACTGCTTTTGTTGTAAAATTTCCGTTTGACACCAATAATTTTGCAGAATGTATGGGCTATGACGACGTTTTAATTGAAAGACTATTTCTCGGTGAACAAGTTCCTCTTCACAAGTTTTCTCACATGGTAGGAGTTCTAATTGAAACTGTCATAAAATATTCTTAGTTTATCACTGCAGGCAGCCATTGGTTATGGCAAATATGAAACGTACATTCCATGGTTATGTGGAGGAAGTTTAATTAGTTACAACTTTGTACTGAGTGCTGCGCATTGTGCGTATAATCAAGAGTAGTAAGTAGTTAGGTAACGCATGTTTAATAACCTTGTTCGTTGCTTTATCAATCATGTACATAAATTTATATTTTAAAACAGTAAAGAGGCTCAATGGATACGTCTTGGTGCCTTAGATCTCAAAAACACCATCGAAGCCAACCATCGAACTGTAAAAATCAGTCAGATTTACACACATCCAAATTATAAATATCCTTCCTATTACTATGACATCGCTCTATTCAAAATGGATAGAAATTACTATGCTTATAAACCGGCTTGTTTACATCCGTATCATAATCTTCCCCACGAGAATTTGCTAATCATTGGATGGACTAATGAAAGTAATTCAGGAACAACCAGGGGCTATATATTGAATGCAACTTTGAGTCTGGTGGATCGTAAAACATGTGCTAAGAGATATAAAAGTGTAGCCAAAACAAGGAAACTGAAATCAGGTATTTTGGACAAGATTCAGATATGCGCTAGTGATGCAAATACTTGCCAAGTAGGTTTTATTGACCTTTGTGTAAATTGAGCAAAAATTAAGTGCTGAATTATAGGGTGATTCTGGGGGACCTCTTCATTATAGAGTCGATCCGAAGAGTCCAAGGCAGGGTCATTTTGTTATTGTAGGAATTACTTCCTTTGGCAAACCCTGCGGTAGAAAAAATAGTATTGGTGTCTATACAAGAGTATCAGCCTTCATTGGTTGGATCGAAGATATTGTTTGGCGACAAAATGAAGATAACTTGGAACCTGATGATTTTGACATTGATATAGAATACTCCTAATAGTTTTCCCAGCTGAAAGAACCTATCGTAAACGTAAAAAAAACGTGTTTAAAACTCTTGCTCTTTATTTTATGGTTTATTTATTAGTTATTGTAAACGCAAGCCATAAAGTAGATTTGAATGAGATTTGTGCTAATACGGACAATGAACGATATCCAGAATAATATTTTGACGATATTAAATTGTAATATATCCGAGCATACAAATCTTAGTACTTTTAGACAGTCGCCTGGAAAAATAATTATGAAAATATAATATTAAAAGATCTATTCAGGTTATACCTGTCATTAATTTCTTAAAACTGTAATGTCTGTCACTCAGTTTTATGCTGATTATAGGAAAATAGCAATTCTGTAACAGTACCTACACCCCTATCGGAAGTCACTAAAATCTTTTGGTTTTTATCCTTTTATGACTCTTGTTCAGAAGTTGTTGTGAGTCCAAAAGAAAGTTTATGTTCAGTTAAAACATTATCTGCCGAAAGAAACCACACAACTGAAGGTACGTTTCTATTATATTTATATTTAGTACAAATTTAACAATCAATATTACCAGAAAGCATAAACTGTTTCACGAATGTTAATATCGACTTTTTTCTTAGAGTGTATGTCATTTGCCAAATTCAGTTTTATCTTAGCAGTTACTAGCCCCACCCACCCACCCTCTCTTTGCTTAGAGGGTATATCATTTGCCAAATTCAGTCTTATCCTAGCAGTTACTAGCCCCACCCACCCACCCTCTCTTTTCTTTTCTTAGGGGGTATATCATTTGCCAAATTCAGATTTATCTTAGCAGGTAGTAGGCCCGCCCACCCGCCCTCTCTTTTCTTGGAGGGTATCCCATTTGGCAAAATTAGTCTTATCTTAGCACGTACTGATGACTAAAGTATTGTCTCAAACTCTTCCAGAAATTATACATCCCGTATTTTCGGTGCTTTTCAAACTTTTTTTGCTTATTTTTTTTTAAGAATTTATTTTTTTGAAATAAAATATTTATCAGTTATGTCATGATTTGATTTTTCTTGTTGATGCTGTCCCCTTATGGTCAAAATTCAAAGGGATCATTATGCCCATGCCGAGAGATCATTTTACCTATGGAGATGCCTAAAATGATCCTTTTGTAAGGTCCTGGAAAAACGTTAATAACTTTTTTTATAATTATCGAATCACCAATTGGCTTATACTGTTACCTAGATAAATCAATGTTCTTACAAATAATGCTACAGTTTTACATGAATAATAATAATTTGTATTTTTTAAAGAATTTCTCCCTTAGGGGGATCATTTTAGGCACCTTTCCCCTACTTAACAATATTTAGGATAAAAATAGCTCAAACGCAACACAATTATTTTGTTCCCAGAACTTCTGAATAAGCATCTCATCCTCCCTTTTTACTTTTCAAGCGTAAGCTAAGGAAGTATTGTAATCGAGTCCATCGGGCGAATTTTTGGTTAAACACTTATGAGTATATTAATTTTTAACAGAATGCAACGAATATTATTACGTCTCAGAACACAGACAATACATCCTGCTCGGCTTGAGAGCTAAATTTCGGGAATTTCCTCACATGGTAGGAAAACCAATACTTCCAAATAAGAATTTCTCAGGCTTTATTTTAGGCAGCGGTCGGTTATGGCGAAACTAAAATTGCATGGTCATGTGGAGGAAGTCTGATTAGCCATCGTTTCGTTCTAAGTGCTGCACACTGCGCAGAATCCATAGAACTGTAAGTACCTATACTTAGCAAATTAACCAAAAAACTAATTTTTGTACTCAGGGGACCAGCATTGTGGCTCCGCCTGGGAGACCTAACCTTGACAAACACCATCAAAGACGCAAACTCTCAAGTCTTCAAAATCAGCGAAGTTCATGTTCACCCGAAATATAGAATCTCTTCGTATTACCACGACATCGCTTTATTCAAAACGGAACGAGAAGTTCATTTTATGTCTCATATAAAGCCAGCTTGTTTGCAAGTGCCAAGGAATTTTTCTATTACGAATTTAGAAGCAATTGGGTGGGGCAGAACGGGTTTTCTTGATGAAGGAAGCGGTCATTTATTGAAGGCCGATTTGTCTGTTGTGAATCATAGTACCTGTGCCAAAAACCGAAAGTATTTTAGATGAATTTCAAATCTGCGCAGGAAGTTCTGAGGGAAAAGACACGTGTCTGGTAATATACCAGGTATGGTATACTAAAACAAAAGTTGCATGAGTTGGATTATAGGGTGACTCGGGAGGACCACTACATTATGAATTATACAGAATACACACTGTTGATAATCATTTTGTCGTCGCAGGAATTACTTCCTTTGGAAAAGGATGTGGTGGCAACAATAGTGTTGGGGTTTACACAAGAGTGTCAGCTTACGTTAAGTGGATAGAAAATATAGTTTGGAAAGAAGATGACTAATTTTATTAAGAAAAAAATCTCGTCAACTGTGAATAATACAATTTTATCATGAAAGTACATTGTAATGAATTTTGCAAATAAATAAAATAAAAGCACATACAAAGAAAAAGAAACCAATATTCTCGTATTGTACAAGTTGTGGAACATAGAAAAACGTAAAATTGGTCAAAATGACCTTTTTACAATACTCTTGAGGAGCAGACAGTTATCTGTCCAAAATGAAATACTTGTTATTTATGTTTAATACGTGCATCAAAAATACAATAATATTATAATGATAATATTTTTGTAATCATACCAAGTCACCTAACCTTACCACCTCCGATATCTTTTATTACGTCGCAGTTCGAAAAGTTTGTCCACTTTTTTTTCACAAATATGAGAAAAGGAATTCTTGCAATTTTCTTTGATATAATCCCCCTAGTTTCAATTTCTTCAGTATTATTATCAAACTGTCTTACGAGTGCATTGTTTGAAGGTAGGTAATATATGCTTATTTACATGTTATTACGTAAATTAAGAATTTCGATTATGTTACTCCAGGAGAAAACTGTACGGTTCGATTAAACCATGAAGAGGGTCGTTGTATTAAAGTACATGATTGCCAATATGCCCTCAAACTAATTCGTAGTAGACGAAACCCTGGAGCATGTGGCTTTAAGGGAAACGATCCATTCGTGTGTTGCCCTTTGTCGTCAAAAATGAAGGATCTTCCTGGAACCTTAAGTGTAACAAGTAAGTAAAAAATAGAACTTTATTCGTAAGTGCAATTTTCTCGTCTCGGATCGCGTGTATTTGCGGCTCTCTGCGCAGTCGGTGCCACCATATTTATCCCACATTATAAACAATATCGTTACGTACATGTCTTACGTACTGCTTTTGTTGTAAAATTTCCGTTTGACACCAATAATTTTGCAGAATGTATGGGCTATGACGACGTTTTAATTGAAAGACTATTTCTCGGCGAACAAGTTCCTCTTCACAAGTTTTCTCACATGGTAGGAGTTCTAACTGAAACTGTCATAAAATATTCTTAGTTTATCACTGCAGGCAGCCATTGGTTATGGCAAATATGAAACGTACATTCCATGGTTATGTGGAGGAAGTTTAATTAGTTACAACTTTGTACTGAGTGCTGCGCATTGTGCGTATAATCAAGAGTAGTAAGTAGTTAGGTAACGCATGTTTAATAACCTTGTTCGTTGCTTTATCAATCATGTACATAAATTTATATTTTAAAACAGTAAAGAGGCTCAATGGATACGTCTTGGTGCCTTAGATCTCAAAAACACCATCGAAGCCAACCATCGAACTGTAAAAATCAGTCAGATTTACACACATCCAAATTATAAATATCCTTCCTATTACTATGACATCGCTCTATTCAAAATGGATAGAAATTACTATGCTTATAAACCGGCTTGTTTACATCCGTATCATAATCTTCCCCACGAGAATTTGCTAATCATTGGATGGACTAATGAAAGTAATTCAGGAACAACCAGGGGCTATATATTGAATGCAACTTTGAGTCTGGTGGATCGTAAAACATGTGCTAAGAGATATAAAAGTGTAGCCAAAACAAGGAAACTGAAATCAGGTATTTTGGACAAGATTCAGATATGCGCTAGTGATGCAAATACTTGCCAAGTAGGTTTTATTGACCTTTGTGTAAATTGAGCAAAAATTAAGTGCTGAATTATAGGGTGATTCTGGGGGACCTCTTCATTATAGAGTCGATCCGAAGAGTCCAAGGCAGGGTCATTTTGTTATTGTAGGAATTACTTCCTTTGGCAAACCCTGCCGTAGAAAAAATAGTATTGGTGTCTATACAAGAGTATCAGCCTTCATTGGTTGGATCGAAGATATTGTTTGGCGACAAAATGAAGATAACTTGGAACCTGATGATTTTGACATTGATATAGAATACTCCTAATAGTTTTCCCAGCTGAAAGAACCTATCGTAAACGTAAAAAAAACGTGTTTAAAACTCTTGCTCTTTATTTTATGGTTTATTTATTAGTTATTGTAAACGCAAGCCATAAAGTAGATTTGAATGAGATTTGTGCTAATACGGACAATGAACGATATCCAGAATAATATTTTGACGATATTAAATTGTAATATATCCGAGCATACAAATCTTAGTACTTTTAGACAGTCGCCTGGAAAAATAATTATGAAAATATAATATTAAAAGATCTATTCAGGTTATACCTGTCATTAATTTCTTAAAACTGTAATGTCTGTCACTCAGTTTTATGCTGATTATAGGAAAATAGCAATTCTGTAACAGTACCTACACCCCTATCGGAAGTCACTAAAATCTTTTGGTTTTTATCCTTTTATGACTCTTGTTCAGAAGTTGTTGTGAGTCCAAAAGAAAGTTTATGTTCAGTTAAAACATTATCTGCCGAAAGAAACCACACAACTGAAGGTACGTTTCTATTATATTTATATTTAGTACAAATTTAACAATCAATATTACCAGAAAGCATAAACTGTTTCACGAATGTTAATATCGACTGTCTAAAAAATATTTAAAAAAGTATATAATACTAACAAAAAAAAACCTTGAGACGCTTTATTTCGTCTAATTCTTGTATTGATCGAGGTCACACAACAGCAAAAAACTTTTTCATTTCAAAAAGCAGTCTAAATCAATCAAGGGTTCATTACGATGGTGCTTAAGATAATTACAGAACTACGAATAAGTTTTAGAAACAAACACAAAGCAAAAACATTTAAATACAGTAGAGAAACACATTAACGTAAGGATAATTTCGTCAGAACATTTCGAACTTTTTGTTCGTACGTTTTTTTAAAGTGGGCGAAATGTGACTTAGTAACGGAAAATTAGTTGACAGATTTGGAGATTTTATGATGATGCTTTATTGAGTGTAATATTACAAAATTGTTAAGTAAAAATTTGAAATAGCATAACTAGAAGTTCTTATTGGAATAAATATACAGGGTGAATATTATAATAACGGGACCCTGACCAAATTTCAATGCAACACCAAATACATATCTCGTATCTAACACTGTATTATCCATTCACGATCTTTATATAGTAAAGTAGACTTTGATATTTTTCCTTTAAGTTGGATAAACTGATTTGATTATTTAGTTTTTTGTCTGTCAGTAATCTGATTGACATTTGTTTTGAGCTGGATTGCCACTTTTCTACTTCATTTATTAGATCAGAATTATTAGACGCAATTTTTTAATCAAGCAACTGATGGATGTATGTTGTGTTGCATTGAAAATTGGTCAGCGTCCCGTTATTATAATACTCACCCTGTATATCAGGTTTCTCCATGTCGGTGTGTAAAAATTACAAAACAAGTGCATGCTGCTAAAAAAAATTTTTTTTAATCTAACTAAAACATATTTATGTACATTAAATGGCCACTATCTCGGACACATCTACTAAGATCTAGGAGTTGAATTTTATCTACTTTATACAATTATTATAAATTTAAATTCATCCTTGTAAACACAGTCCCAATTGAATAAATACCTCTAACAATCCAAAAATTAAAAAATAAAACAAACTGTGTTCATCAGAGGCTGAGTCTTACCGCAAGTCCTAACTTGTAATTTACAGAATAATTTTCGGAACATTGTATCTTTCTCTCTGTCATTATATTCATGGCGAAAATAGACTATAATTTTTTGTTTGTCTTATTAAAGTTGTACCATTTGACTTCGTTCACGACAGAGGCCATCTCTTTCATCTAAAATTCGTTGAAGTTAGAGTTGTGAAAACGTGTTTAGATCCATTTTGGTCCAGTAACATGTAATTATTTTATTAATATAACTGGACCAAAATGGATCTAGACACATTGTAACAGTGTTGGTTGAAGCAAAAACATCCAATTTTCCTTCGAATCGAGTGTCTACTTGAGGCAACATTTTATCAAATTTGGGACACTCGGTATAGATTTATAATCTCGTGTAAAACGGTACCTGTGTTTCGGTGGCTTGACCGGCCTCGATCGCACCACAGAAAGTCAAAATGACAGCCAAACCTGTTATAGTTTGTCGTGGATAGTATTCCGGAGTAATTTTTCCCTAAAACTATACCTGTCAATTTTGACTATTTAAAACAAATAAGAAACACATACCGAAATCATAATTATAGCAAAACTGATACACAGAAGCCAACCTGATAAGCTAAAAAAGATTAGCTCGCGTTTTACTTCACTGCATTTCTGATTGTATGCTCTACAATTGAAGCTATAGAAGAAATTTTGACTCAATACAACTTACAATAAATATTCGTCCCATCTTCTGATACAAAATTTCAGTCTGTTTTCTATCGTTGCTTGATACTCTTCATCATCGAACAGTTTCTTTTCATCTATGTTCAAGGAACAGTCACTTATGTTTACAATATACTCATTCAGTAACATAATTTGGTATCTTAGGTGTTGAGTGTAGTAGATGATTTGTAACACATGAACAATCATCGAATATCCACTGAAGATAAAAGTAGCTTTATATAAAATCGCCAAAACAAGATATTTATCAGGAAAGTAATCTTTGATGAATCTCAACACAAAAAACCATTCCAAGTCGTGAGAAAGGTTAACTGCAAATAAAATGGAGCCACACAAGGCAGCTAAAACTGTGGCGACAATATAAATCGTTATGTATTTTACTCCAAAACGAATTTTCTTTTCAACTTTTTCGCCTGCATTATCTATTTCCCACAAGTAAAGATCGTCTTTCAAACCAGCCACCTTTTTGCTGTCGTACAATATCGTCCATATGGCCAGCATGGGCTACAAAAGTCTTTAAGTATATAGTGTGACGTCTCACGATACTTACCAAAAACTCTGCAAGGAACATAGTTGCATAAGGCATGATTTGCTTGGAATTGTAAACACAAGTTAAAAAGTAGATTTGGATGAAATTCATGAAACCACGTAAGATGAAAGTCATCCAAAAACCAATTTTACTGATTTTGAACTGCAATAAGTCAGATGCAAAAAATCGCAGCACTTTTAAACAGTCACCTGAAATAAATATACAATTGTTTTGCTTGGAACATTTACGTTTAACTGTGTTGTAAATATGGACCTGTCATGGCAGATTTGGAACTGTAGCAACTGTTATCATTAGTCATCTTAACAAATGGACACTATGTATTGTACAACTATATTATAAAAAATAGAGTTCCTGTTTTACACTTAAGTGTTACCAGACTGACAACCCGTGCCACATAACACAGATGTTTATTCTAGACTAGGAGGTATTGATTGCTAAGAGAAATATACTACATGTATAAACAATAAAATATGTAAAAATGACTAAATGTTAAGTTAATTTAGTTCGGTTATCGTGTCAAGGCCATACATACACAGACTACTCCATCTAAAAAACTTTATGAGGAGATATATCTGGTACCTCCATGTCATTACGATTTCTTAGTAATCGAGGTTTTAATTTTTGATGGGTGTATTACAGCGCTCTGAGTACACGAATTTGTATGAAAAAGCTTCTCCACGCAACAAAAAACATCTACAAACATAGGCTAAACAATGTTAGAAATTCTAAATACTGATTAACATTTGAATATTCATGAAACTCGTCATACAAAAAAAAAAACAAAACTGTGAGTATAAATTGTCAGAATTCAGCTGTGATTTTTACGTAAACCCAGACGAAAGTCCACGACTTGATTCCCAGAAATCTGTGTTTACCACTACCTGATCTATTTGTTTAACTGTAACGGCAACATTTTCAACCATCGGAAGTCGATGATCACACATCTTGGGAAAAACCCACCTCTTGAAAATCTGGTAGTTTATTTTTTCTCTGACACATCGATCTTGGGCATAAAACTAAATCTCCCGGAAGTCAGTGTCCAAGCCAGTTCTCTTGTGACTGCCGGCAATGGCGGTGATTAGCGGTGTATTGTTGGTTGCGGCATTGTTGAGTCGGGAAACCGCTGCTTTAATTGAAAATCAAGCGTGTAAAGTTCCCGCAACCGGTGAAAACGGCCAGTGTATTCAGTTCCAAAATTGTCAGTATGCTAGAGACTTAGTTCGTTTGAAAAAGAATCCAGAGATTTGTGGATTTAAAAGGAACACTCCGTTAGTGTGTTGTCCCGTTAAACAGAAATTGACTGAATCCAAACCCGGAGCGCTAAGTCAAAAAAGTAAGTATATAAAATTTGTGACTAAGTGGTTTGCAGTTTTTTGATTGTGTAACTTTTAACAGAATGCGGCGAATATTTCAACCAAAGAGTGCTACCGCAATCAATCGACTTTGGAACGAAATCTAAATCTCGAGAATTTCCTCATATGGTACTAAAACCAATATTTAGTAAAAAAATATATATGTCGCACGCTTTATTTTAGGCAGCTGTTGGTTACGGTCAAACTAAAAATTTATGGTTATGTGGAGGAACTCTTATCAGTCACCGTTTCGTCCTAAGTGCCGCACATTGCGCATACTCTGCAGATTTGTAAGTACTCCCACTTGGTACTTTATCCAAAAAACTAATTTTTGTATTCAGTGGACCAGCAACGTTGATTCGTGTGGGAGACCTAGATTTAAAAAATACCACCGAAGACGCAGACCCTCAAGACTTCAAAATCACCAAAATCCATGTACACCCAAAATACAAACTCTCTTCGCACTACCACGACATCGCTCTATTTAAAACCGAAAAACACGTTTATTTTGGGTTTTATGTAAAGCCGGCTTGTTTGCAAGTGCCAAAGAATCTTCCCATTAACACTTTAGTAGCAACTGGATGGGGCAAAATGGGTTTTCTTGGTGAAGCAAGCAGTCATTTATTGAAGGCTGATCTAACTATTGTCAACCATGGTACTTGTGCCAAAAGATACGCCAATGTTGCTCAAACCAGGAAATTGACCAAAGGTATTTTAGATGAATTTCAAATCTGTGCTGGAGATGCTCAAGGAAAAGACACGTGTCCGGTAATATGCGTTGTTTTATTAAAAAAACAGTGTGACTGAATTTTGGATTCTAGGGTGACTCGGGAGGACCGTTGCACTATGCATTAAAGAGAAAGAATAATCTTGCTTTTCATTTTGTAGTCGCCGGAATTACGTCCTTTGGGAAAGGATGTGGTGGCGAAAATAGTGTGGGGGTTTACACTAGAGTGTCGGCGTATGTTAGGTGGATAGAAAATATAGTCTGGAAGGAAGATGACTAATTTTACTGAGAAATAAGAGAGTGTAATTTTTATGTTTATGGATCAGTAAAGTACGAGATTCTCTGAGAAAATTTTAGTAAAGTGATTTTTTTATTGAGTGTCTTCTTAATTTGGAAGTTCGTTGTGACGAGTTTTGCAAATAAATAAAATAACACACATTACTCACTATTTTAACTATTTTCCATTTATCCCAACTGAATGTAACATGTTGTTTAATGTTGCAATTTTCCATTAAAAAAAAAGGACAAACAAAAGGGGCCCCAAAACTGAACCCTGCACCACGTCAGAATCGATTTTTTCGAAATGTGTCTAGATACAGATACAAGAAAACAGATACTTTTTGAAGGTTTGGCGAATAAAATAACTGAAAACATGTTTATGTATTTTTTTATGTATTGTTTAATGAATTTTTTAAAATTAACAACATTTTAAACTTATTGTCACCTAAATTATTACTTCTTGGTGTTAGAATTTGGTTTCCGCTACTAAACACCCGTTCCACAGGTGCAGAAGAAGGGATTGTGGTATTAAATTTAAAAAATAAACATTTTACTGTAGCATAGTTATTCAAGACTGAAAAATCTTTTCTTTTTTCCTGCAAATAGGCCATCGCTTCGCTGTTTGATGTGTCGCAAATTGTGCAATATTTATTACCTACGCTTAAAAAGAATATTTTTTTTGTTTTTATTCCCCAGAGTCCAAATTGTGTTTGAGTATATCTAATAATTACCTCCAGCATTAAAATTAATATTTCAAAAGAATACAGGAAATGATTATTCTGTGCTGAAGGTCTGTTGTCGGCAACCTGATAAAAATATATATTGATTCTTCTATTTGTTCTTGTTTTTCATTCTTGTCTAGTCTTCTTGTTTTCATTACTTTTGGCTGTTGTTCTTCCTCCGTCTTGTCATTTAGTAGGTCTTCAAAATATTCCTCCCATATGTCAGTTTTTCTACTGTGTTTCCAATCAGTTGTCCTTTACTTCTGCAATATACCGTTCTCGTGCTCGTGGTCTGTCTTGCTTTCCTGACTTCTTGGTAGAAGTTTTGTATCTCCGTTCTGTCTTCTGAAATTGAAATATTTGACTTCGCTAATGGGAATTATCATCTACTTAATAATTATCTGGCTTCTGTGGATTGGGAAAGTTGTTTTGTTGGTCTGGATGTGGATGATAAAGTTTCAGTTTTTTATGGTATTCTCTTCGATGGCATCAATGGATTTATTCCAATAAAAACTGTTAAATTGAATAGTTCATCATATCCTAGATGGTTCAATACAGAATTAAAAAATTGGGCACGATTGAGGATTACCTTTATTTTAGATCGTTGAGGGATCACTGCAAAGAACTTAATACAGATCTCTATAAGTCATATTTGACTAGAGTTAACAATAGTTTGTCGAGTAACCCTCAATTCTTTTGGAAATTCATTAAGGATAAAAATAAAGGCGATGGTATTCCAGAAGAAATGGTTTTTAATGAAGAACGTGCAAAAGGTGGAAATGCAATTTCCAACTTATTCGCTCAGTTTTTTTCTTCTGTATATGAAAAGAACAATAGGAATTTCAACCTTAATTTTGTTCCGGATATGGAAATAAATGATTATGGTTTAAAGGTGTCTAGTGAGCATATTTCCCAAATAAAATCCTCCTCCAATTGTGGTCCAGATGGGATTCCAAGCATTCTCTTAAAAAACTGTGTTTTCACAATTCTCTTCCATTGATTTTGTTACTTCAATCGTCTCTAAATGAATGTAAATTTCCTAAAGTTTGGAAAAACAGTTATACATATTATCCCTATTTTTAAAACTGGTGAACGGAATAGAACTGATAATTATAGAGCATACACTACTTTAAAAAATACTTAATAATAATAAAATAATTATTTTATTGTTATTAAATATAGGCAGACGCGACATTACTGTACTGCCACCCACCCGATTCATTCCCAGGACCAGCAAAGCTAGTGGCTGCCAAAGAGCCACCCTGATTTAACGAACAAGACGGATGAAGCAATAAACAAATATATTAAATAACAAAAAGTCCTTTAAACAACATTATATTATGAATACTAACGTTTACAATTTATATAGAATTCTTATCTATATTAATAAAAATGAATCGCGGAAATGTATGTACGCTCATAACTTCAGAACGACTGCACCGAATTCTTTTTTTTACGTGTACCTTATTGTCAGGAGAAGGTTTATATGTAAGAAAATTTATAAAAAATAAGACGGCTAAAAGATAAAAAAAAAATTAAAAATTTTGCATGGGAATCGCCACTTCGAATGAATTTGAATAGTTGGCGTTCCTGACGGACCTGTCGCCTAACTGACGTGTCATACAAAACTAGGTATTTCTTCCGTGCGATTGTGAAAAAAGTATTATTGCATTTCAAATCGTTCTTTGTTTTTTCGTAAAAAAAAACGTCGTTTATTTTAAGAAAAGTCTTAGTTAAAGTGAATTTAGTTACACATTGCGAAAGTGTCTTATGAATTTTGATCTGCCATTCTATTTACCTATGTTCACTTTGTTGATTTCGACAAAACTTCAAACTTTACCGTTATTCGAAGATTTAATTTGAAGTTTTCAATATTTTAAAATCCTCAAGACAAAATTTACACATTTGATTGATTGTGAAAATAATTCTGTGTCGTTTTATGAAGTTCATTACAATGCCGAGAAGACGACAAGCTGACATAAGTCCACGAAGTCAGTCAAATGTGCGATGAACTACCTAAGGTGCAAATCGGGACGATTTATTTCAAGGGTAATTCGGATTCGGAAGTTGATCAGCGTTGTGCTCATAATCAACATCATAATCAAACATTGAAGCGAGACACTGGACGGTATGAATAAAACTGAGTAGATACTCATATTCGAAGTACGAAGTACCTACTTCATTATTACTCTTATATACCTGAGCATCTACCTGATGTACTGTGTATCTACTTGCAAACATTGTATCTCCCTGGACACAAATTGAACATCTACGCGTTTTGTGAGCATTTAATCTAAAAATGAGCATTGGCGTGGCAAATGACTATTTGTCCTTATAAATGATAAATTAAATGTAATATATTTTTTTTTCCTTAAGAATATAGAGTTAACAAAGTTAGTTGAGTTACAAAAGTCTCTTTTGCTCCACGTTGGCCACCAACGAGCGATTTTCATGATTTTTGTGAAACTTTGCTGGTTTTGAATTTGAATTTTCTGTCCTCGATAGTTGATGCTCAGCAAGAACCACGGGAAGGTCTGGAGCAGATCTCGCTAGGAAAGGAGAGGGCTAGGAATTGTTAATGAGGGATAGAACGTTATACAGTACAATACAACGGAAATACAATACAGGTACCTACAATCTAGCTACAATACAGAATAACTACAGATACAGATACAATTCAGATACAATACAAACGCAAAGTTAGTACCCAATACACCACCGGAAGAAATTGCACCAAAAATTGAGAATGTTGCAAAATGAAAACCCAAGCAAGCACACCGATGGAACTCGGGACGAAATCTATTGGTCGCAGCGCTCACACGCCCAAGGGAGAACGCAGCCGCATAAATCCAAGGTCGTCTTACCTCATTCTCAAAGAACGATGCAACCCAGCGTCTAAGGGCCAAAAGAACCCCCCAGGCCAGAGCGTCTGACGACATGGAGAATTCAGTCTCGGAACCAAAGAATGCACTGTTGCAAAATTAAAACCCAAGCAAATGCACCGTGAAAACAAAGCATTTGCACCACTGGAGCTAAATTGGCAAGACCCAAGTTAAGTTAGTAACACATAAAATACACAATACAAAATGCTTCAATTACAATAGTTACAATATACAAATTTCTCCACGTTTGCCAACAAAGAGCGATGACTCTGCTCGCTCGTTGCTGTTGCCCAGCAAGAACCAAACAATACGAGGAGGTCTGGAGTGCGTCTTGCCATTAAAAGAGAGGACTAGGGTTTGATAGCATGGGTGAAGGACACCGTATTTTGTAAATTTGGACGCCGTAGTTTAAAAATGATACATACGGTATTTTGCGAATTATGAACGCTGCACTTTGTATATTCCAAAGCCGTACTTTATCAGTCCTGAATGCATGTTATTAACAATATATTTCAAAAAAAATCTGGCATTTTTGGAAAAATATCCACTTTCCTTTATGTTCACAGCACGTAACACAAAACATTTTCGCTAATATTTATTAACAATAAATTAGAAATTCGCGAACACGTGCTACTTTTAAGCCAAAACGGAGCTCCAGTATTGCTGCTACCAGACCGGAATCAAAACTAAACACAGAGGATGGAAAAATTGACCTTTTATCAGGTAGCTCACGTGACAGTGATGTCATCGTACGTCACGATGAGATTGCAAAAATTATTTTTCATATTTTAGATCAGAAATTGTACATTTTCGGGGTTAATTTAACAATGTTTAAACAAACTAATTTGTTTTTGCTAACCTCGTGTTCTTAGGAAGATGGATTTCGGTTTAATTATCATATATTGATAGTTATCATATTTGAACATTATGAATTATATTAATTATGTTTAAATTTTATTTAATTATATCGCGAAAATGTATAGCTTTGACCCACCAACTTCAATCGTTTCGAAAATTTATCCAAAATGTAAACATTGTCGACCAAACGAATCACGGAATCCGATAAATTAAAACTGAAGTCGTACTTACCCTGTTTTCCGTCTTTTTCGGAAAAATATCCATTTTCGTTCGTGTTCACAGCACTAACACAACATATTTTCCGTAATATGTATTAATAATAAACTAGAAATTCACTAAAACGTTCCACTTTTACGCCAAAATGAAGCGACGATCTTGCCGCCATCAAACAGAAATTAATACTGAACGCAAAGGACCGAAAAACGTGACGTTTATACAGGTAGCTCAGGTGACAGTGACGTCATCGTACGTCACGATGAGATTGCAAAAATTATTTTTCATATTTTGGCCGGGAAAATGCACATTTTCGGGGATAATTTAATAATGTTTAAACAAAATGATTTGTTTTTAATAATTTCGGGCTTTTAGGACAAGGAATTTCGGTTTAATTATCATATATATTTATGCTTATCATATTTAAACATTATAAGTGATATTAATTATGTTTAAAATTTATTAATTTATATCATGCAAATGT